TAGACTCGCCCCGCGAATTCTGGCTTTTTGTTTACAACAGCAAAACTTACATTCTTTTTTTTTTTTTCCTATAAAATTAATGTAATCTTAGTCTTAGATAAGTTTATCACTTAACCAAAGTGAAAATAGTAATAATAATAATATACTTACGGAGCACCAACTAAAAGTTTGCTGATTTTCAATACAAATCTCTCAAAGGACGTTTGAACAAGTCGGTTAAAAAGACACCAAATAAATAAAAACGGATCAAACTACTACAGCGCCATCTTCCTTAGAGTCTGAACTAAGTCCTCCGTCGGTAAAAATTTTTTTATTTGCAATTTAAAGTAGTGAAAATTAAATAAAACTGAAATGTGTAGACTCGCCCCGGTTTACGGTAATGATATTTGCTTTTAAGTTTAATATTTAGATATTTATATTCTCTAATGGCAGTTAATTATTTTTAGACTTATATAAAGTTAAGAAATCTATATATGATTCGAAACATATATATATATACTTTTTTCTATTAATTACATAATGAATATGGACAATAAATTCTTAGAAAGTTTCCCTTCTCATATTTTTAAAGTGCTATCACAAGTAAGGAAAGTAAACAGGATCTGTATCGTCATCATTATTTTCAAAAAATGTCTTTTTTATCTGATATAAATTTTAATTACGTAGAGTATACATTCTAAACTATATGCGAACTAAGTAAGCTTGCATTTCTAAATAATAATAATGAAGGCAATATTGTGAATTCGTCATTATTTCATTTTTATCTGGATGGATTTCAATCCTCTTCTTTTTTTTATTCGTATTTACTTTTTCCCACTTTTATAAATTGTTTACTACTTACACACAAGATGAAAAACATAAATTCAAAAGTATACCGACAGAGAAGTATTTGCGATCAAAAACCGGTCATAAATAAGCAATGCGAATTTCTGTAAAAAGACGCCAAACCGGCACTGAATTTTTAATTAATTACATAAATTGGCTCAAAAATTCACCTGAAAGTCTCGTGTTTGCAGTACAGATAGTCAGTCATAATCTATTTCGAACAAGTACCATTTTGTTGTAGTTCCTGGCATGATCGGGAAAATATTTTTTTAAAGTTCATTATATGCTTTAATTATGCTATTTAAACTAAAACCCCTCTAACCACCATTTTGTTAAAAATGGTTTATATTTCATCGGCATTTTTTCTTTTTAGTCCAAATAATGAGACAATTTTTAAATTCCCACGATTTTGTTTCATGCGAAGCTTTGTTTTGTCTTTCTAAATAATACCCGAAAACTCCCTTTTTTTGGGAGCGAAATGGGGGTGATTTTAATCTAGTTCATATTCGTCACATGGTTACTAGTGTGCATATATATTATTGTTCCAGTGCGTATATAATAGAGTCTTTTTTAGAAAATCTAATAACAGTGTACTGAATGCACATTTTAGTAATAGTGTAATAGATAAGCACACTAGTACTAGCTAACTAAATATGCACTATAGTGATAGTATAATAAATACATCTCTCTTTAATAATACATCATATCTTTTTGAATGAATATAGACTAGAGTAAATCATTTCACTCTAGCTTGTATTCATTACACTCTTACTAGAGTGCATATAATAATTTTCGTTTTATGAATCTGCACTCTAAATAACAGTGTAATGAATACGCACTCATATTAGAAAAGAAAATTCATCAGAAAAGAAAATTCGTCATTGAAAAGAAAAACATGCGCACTTGAGAAATATTTAGAATTAACGCTCTAACAGTGTCATAAATATTCAGTCTGGAAACAGATTATAAAGAATATTTACTCTAGTAATAATGTATTAAAAATACACTGTCACTAAGCTTTAAAGCATTGTTGTTATTCATTTAATAGGAGGATATCTTGGGGGGGGGGGGAGATCTTCCCGCAAATCACTAGATAAGGAAGTACAATGTATTTTTGAAAATGTTGTCTATACTATTGTTGTTTGTTTGACAGAGAAAGATAGAGATTGCGAAAGAGACTCGAGTCATAGAGATGACAGGATTGAGTATTTCTCTTCTATTTCTTCTCATTTCCATCTTCATCTTCGTCCACTTCAGGTAAACCATTTCTTTACTTCTAAACGCAGTTTTTAAATGGATAAAATAACTTGGCTAATTTTTATTAACATCAAAAAATAATTATTTTATTCAAACTTCGGATACGTAGGAGAACAACATTTGAGCAATATTTTAAAAAAAATTCATCCACTGAGAATTGTTTTTAGGAGACCCGTTAGAAATAAAGAGTGTCTCGTTTGGTGAAATAACTCATAAAAGTTTTATGTTCATGAATTTTTCTTTCAGTATAGGCGAGAAGAAGATTTTTATTTCATCTCTTCATCTTGGAAGGATTTATTCTGAAACATTGATTGATAATGGATGAGTGATTCTTAGGTGAAGGTCATCGAGACAAAAAAAATGAGGCGTTAGTTTTTAAATCAGATATATCTCATTACCAAGTTTGCAAATGAATAAACAAAAAAACAAAATTCCTGAAAAGCCTTTGGAGATAAACTATCTAAGTTTATGAATGTATTGTTAGTAGGTAGGCATAAATCATAATTAAATAAAAGATTCTAAAAAAATGATTGAACTTTTTGCTGAAATTGTATGTAAAAAAGTATAATTTCACTGCATAAGAAGGAAAACGTCTTTTAGATGAAAATATGTGTTTCTTATATGTTTTAGGCTTAAAACAGCGAATCGGTCGTAATTTTTTTTATTTACCACATTTTAGTTTGGCGACTTTATAGTTTTCACAGCAACAATTTAAAAATTCCAGAAGAGAAAAGACCTTTGCATGGATCACTTTAGTATTCCGAAGGAATGAACGTAAACAGCTCAGAGGGAAAGGCGTTAGAAAGACATCACAAAGTTCGGTCTACTAAAGGGCGGGATTTCTCATTTATGGTAAACCCCCCCCCCCCNGGTAAACCCCCCCCCCCCCCATGTGAAGACCTTCTCTCTTCTTGGAGGTTGTGAACTTAAATAAAGGAACTCTCACCGACAGTGAGATAAGTTGGCTATCTTAATGAAATTTTAGCGACAAAAGTCTATTTTAACTTCCAGAAGTTTTAAGGCAATAAAAAGCGAGATATCCGAGTATTAGAGGCGACTTTTTTCACACCAAAACGATAAGAGATGAACAATTTCAAATTTGATGCATGGATCAAGCGCACCTTTTGCTTATACAGAATCACTTAGTCTCATCTAAAACGCAGAAGGAAACGTTCGGATTTGTTGCACAACGTATTATCGGTGATTCATTTTCCTTGTTTTGTTCTATTCGTTTGCTGTTTTTATAGCTCCTTGAAGAACAAACGTACACGAATTCACAAGAATCTTTTCTTTGCAATGTTCGGACAAGTCTTCATTCGCCTCATTCTCTATTCGGACCAGTGGTTGTCCAGGAATTCCATTGAAGATGCCATCCACTCTGACAGTCCCTACAGCCTCGAAAATCAGGTGACTATGATAACTGAATGAACAAATTTTCCCAAAAGTTATCCAAACATATACTCTTTGTAAATAGAGTAGATGTCTTAAGGTGACGCGATTTATTCACATTTTTTTTTCTGTCTTTACCATGATATCAACAAATCTTGCTTTTTCTCCCGGGCAGTTCGTTTCAGTAAAAAATTGAATTACACTGTTATGGGGAAAATGCAAGATTTTCTGATACCATGGTAACAGAGAGAAGAAAATGTGGATAAATCGCATCACCTTAAGACGCCTACTCTACACTGGTGTGCAAAACTTAAGCAACAAGTGGTTTTTCGGCCACAGCTCCCCAACAAACTATAAGATAGCCATGAAATTGCAGTATAATATGCACGTAATTCAGAAGAAAGATTATTTGTATGCAAATTTTAGAAATAAGACGTCGTAGGTGATGTAAGTGTACGTAAACCTTGTGGGTCGGCTCGCGCAGGTCAAAGGTGTGATAAAAGGATGAAGAGCACCGTAGTTAAAGACATTCGCTGCAAGTGCAGGTGATTTGTTTTGTGAAACATGTCTTCAAGAAATCATTTAGACGACTTTACTCGAGGAAGAATGATTGGGAAGCTTGAGGAGGGG